TATTTTATTTATTTGCCAAAAACTTACCGCTAGATGGCGTTATATTTCATACCGAGCGCACAGTGCTTCATTTGCAAAGAAAAATTTCTCAATTTGGTACTCATCTAAAAATAGATGGACTCTCGGTGCGCTAACAATTTCAAAAGTGTTCACAACGACCAAATTGATGGTGTTACCAACCCTTACAAGGTTGATATTTCTCACCAACAAGTGTCGCCTTTTGTGTCCTTATTTTGATGTCCGATTACTCCGAATTTTATTAAATTACTATTCCTATAATTGTGGTACTCACAACGTGGCTTAAAGCGTCGTAAAATTATAAAATCTTTAATTTTCATACTAGTTTAAAATATTTGTTGTTGGATTGCATACTAAAATAAGTTTAGGCAAATAGACCTTTGAACGCTATGTTTTCGGATAACATATAACTTTATGAGAGACTACATGAAACCCCTAACTATTTCACCTGTATCACGTTTGTCGGCTATGAACTAAGTATTTTATTATTTTTAATATCTCAATTTACTACAAAAAGTCTAGTAGTCTTCGCAGTCGGTAGGATTCGAACCTACGCTCCCAGAGGGAATCTGATTTCTAGTCAGACGCCTTAACCGCTCGGCCACGACTGCTTCTTCCTTGCATCTGCATAATGCGCTATAAAACAGTGGTGATATGTGTTTTCATATTATAAAAGTTGGCTTAGTAATTCGCGCTCTTAACCCTGGATGTGCTCTGTTGGTAGATTGTCATCATGTTTTGCAAACAGCAGCAAAATAACAATGCCCGTCCTGGGTTAAAAAGTTAGGTGGATTAGAAAATTACGGAAAATCACTTGTTTTGAAATGTTATAAAGCGATTTTGTTCAAATTGTGCACAAATCTTTGAAACAATATTATCTAGTCAATGAACGACGATCTTTTTGTTATTACAAATAGCTTGCTTTACAAATAGCGAGCCACTTGCTAGCGAAAACTTGATCTCAAAATGTATATTTTTATTCACAGTCTGTCTCAATTTTAAATTTTAATTTGGTTCGTTCATCCAAGAACGATCTTTATGCATATGACAAAAAAATATTTTGGTTTTTTTATATTAAATTAGTACCTACTTATTTTCATTGGTTCACCCGGAAGTTCGAAAATCTTTATATTAGATATATGGGGGATAATGGAAGTATAGGTCCGATTCAATATTTTAACATACAGACATACCATCATAAGAGAAGGATTATCTCTTAATTTCAGTTATATATATCACACATTGAGCGACATTTTCGATCAAAAGTCAACTACTTGTATAGCTACCGGGGTTTAAATATTCGGTACCTAGGGAACAGTTTTTATTGGATTTAAACAATTTTTCGGCATAAGGTGGCACACACTAAAGACATTATTTGTGTTAAGTTGTATCCCGTTACATTAACTGCTTCTTGATTTGTATACGGGAAACTGAATGAATCAAGTGGAACTTAAAATTGTAATATATGGGAAGTGGGCGATTTCGTCCATTATCACAATCTGACATAAGAATGTATGAAGAATCCCACATACCAAAATTTTGTCGAAACCGATTTGTCGGGTACCGAGATATGGAATTTCACCAAAAATTGGGCGGTGCCATGCCCATCGTCCAGTTTTTACTACGGCTCCGATAAAGGTCTCTTATACCATCTTGGCCGTACAATTGTATGTTTCTGGCGTATTTAGTTATTGATTTATCGCGCTTTTAGTAGTTTTTAACAATACCGTTATATGGGAAGTGAGCGGGAAGTGATCCTCTGATTTCATCCATTTTCACACTGTCGGTAGAAATTCTTATATGACGTGGACGTGGCAAATTTAGTTGCTTGTAGCTTAGTGGTTTATATGTGTACATTAAACTTGTTAGAGGGCAGGGCTACTTCCACTTTTTTCTTGCCCCTTGCTACTGCGGTCCTCTGTATCAAATTACAGCTTTATATCTTCATTTATTGCTTAGTTATGGCACTTTATATGTTTTCGGTTAATGGCGATTTGTGGGAGTAGCAATGGTCAATGATCTCAATTTTTACTCAAGTTACAGCTTGCACGGACGGACGGACGGACGATAGACAGACATGCATTCAACCGGATTTCAACTTTTTTCGTCATCTCCTGATCATTTATATATACTATATAACCCTATATCTATTTCGCTTAATATTTCGGTGATACATACAACCGTTTGAAGAACAAAACTATAATAGTTTGTAGCAACTGTAAAATAATACAAGAGTATAATAATAAAATGGAAATTGATAATAAAATATAATAAATATGTATAACAAAAAGTGTAAAAAGAAGCTTTATAGTCTTCGCAGTCGGTAGGATTCGAACCTACGCTCCCAGAGGGAATCTGATTTCTAGTCAGACGCCTTAACCGCTCGGCCACGACTGCATGGTAAATTAATGTGCCCATTGCAGTACTTCAGCGTTAGTAAATTTTGATTCCATTTTCAGATTTAATAAATTTAAAATATTATTAAATATTAGCGAATACGTTTTACCTCTTACGTGATAATTTATTTTAGTACTTTAATATGTCTTAACTCCAGTCTGTCACTTTTTTGAGTTATTTTATCGAGGCGGTGAGTTCAACTTCTTCGAAGATTCTGTTTGCATTACGGTTTCACTGATTAGACCCAATATTTATTTAAGTTTTCTCGTAATTTTCTTTATTATATAATTATTATTTTTTTTTTTCTATTTTTATTTTATTGTTTATTCTCGTCGAATTACATACATAAACATTAAATCATTTTGCGATAGTTGATAGTTTTTAATTTTATATCTTATATTTTTGCAATACTTTTACAAGCAACTTTCGGGTTTATTATTTATTCTTTCTGTTTATAGCGGCATTGAATATTTCATTTTCATATTTTTATTTTTTAAGCAATATAACAAGACATTTATCAAAGTTTAAACTAGCATACGGCTTTTAAGGGTGAATATTTTCGGCTGCTTTCGCAAACTTTGAGCCGGTGGTAAAGTATTTTGTATTGTTTTTCAAAAATATTTAAAAAAATATTTGAGGTTATTGAAATATACATACATTACATATCTAGTTTTTTGTGTTTTACCTTAATAAGAAAGAATTATAAAATCACAAAGTGTCTAAAAAATGTCATTTGAAAAAGGACAATTTTACGCTACTTATCAAAATAAGGCCTTGCAAAATACTTTGTTACGTTTATTGCTGGGTTTGTTTTTTCGTTTTTTTCAATAAATGACAATGCTAAAATTGAACTTTTTATTTTTTAAATGAATGTAAACTGCTTCTGCAAGTGTTGTTGTGACTAAGTATTTAAAATGTGTAAACGTATATATTAAATTAGAATTAAAATATTAACATACATTTAAATTAAAAAAGCTTCTTTTATTTTCATCACATTTCATAAAAGAACTTAAGTACAAATTTCAGTTGTAATTTTCATAAGAAAGTTCTTTCAAAAAAACTATACTTTATTTGCTAGACTTTAACGGCAAATTAACCAGAAACCGTAATCATTATGTTTTCTTTTAAAAATCCAGTAATAATGATTATACATTGAATTACGATTTTCTTCATCGATAATAATTTAATCTGATGAAGGGATTTCATGGGTTTCGTCACGCAAAACGCGTTCTCTTTGAAATAATTTTTTTTATATAAAATTCATTTTTTTTTTCAAATTTTTTATTATTGCAAAAATAATAAAGAAAATTTTACAATAATTTTTGACTTCTTGGCATGTTTTTTTTTTTTAAATAGTGTAAATGACCAAAAGAAAATCCTTTGTTCAAGACCTTGTAAATTATATCTCGAAGACCTGTGTAAAATGTTTGCCAAAAATCTTGATAACCGACTCTGAAATACATTTCCGAGAAAAACGCGTTTAAAGCTTTGGGACTACATAGCCGACCACGAGCGCTCAATTTTCAAAGCTGTATCTCCAAAACTAACAAAAACTACTACTTAGAACAACGTGAGAATTTAAGACAATATTAAAGAGATGTTATGGAATTAAATACAAAAAAAAATTTTAAGCCGTGAAACCCATTTACCCCTTTAGTTTTATAATAAATCATTATTT